CGGTGGGGGGGGCGGAGGATGCCCTAGTGCTTTGTTTGGCATTGCGTGTGCAGCCCCTCCCACCTCGTCGCCTTCTTTAATGGGCATGTTGGGGGATAGCATGTTGGCTAACCTTAGCTGGTGAGGGGCTGAAGAAAGGCCCACCTCTCCCAGTCCCTTTTGTTCCAGATGCCTGCTGAAGGCAAACGCGTTACAGCCCGCTGGGGCCTTGGCAGAGGCCTGCAGCATTGCCGCAGTCGGGACGGGGCCCCTGGCAGCCATCGGCATTTGGTAAAACTGCTGTCTGTGCGAGGTACCAGCGTCGGGGTGGAAGCTGCCATTCTTGTCCACGTGAAATAGGTTCTGCTGGAAGCTACAGGAGGGGAGCAGCCGCTTTTGCTGTTTGACCTCGGGGCTGTGCACGATCCGGTTCTGCATGGCATGCTTGCTCAGCCACTCTTGCTTAAAGGGCTGGCTGTGTCCTAGCTGACTCAGGCCCGAGTTGATGACACAAGGCACGCCTTTAACATCTGGCTCCACCAACAATCTCCCCGGTTCACATTTAACTTGAGTGTGCTCCCCCACAGTCCTGGCCACTCTCTTTTTGGGGTGGTTTTCTCTCTTTCGCATTTGGAGTGGTACAAGAGTACCTGCCAAGTAGCCCTTCCCATCTGGGTTTGGAGAGCTGGACGGCATTTCTACAACATTCCTCTCTGGTGCTGTTTTCCCCGCTGAGGTAGTTTGAAGAGGCAGAGGAAGCCTGTTAATTTCAAGCTTGGCTCCCAATCTGGGCTGAGGCAACACTTTTTCCAAAGGCAGGTTGCCCTGTAGTAACTGTGTCACCAGTGGATTGTTCGCCTCCACAGATGACAGACGACAGCTTGAGCTCCCTGCATTGGGAACTCTTTTCAGGGTGTCTGTAGCTAACGAAATCACCTCTTCCATGGGACCAGAGGTGGGAGCCTTCACGCTCTGCGTCTGTTGCTCACTAGGGCCTGCCTCTGTGGCCGGAGGTGGCAGCTCAGGGCCAGGGAAGTCCTCCGTGTCCATTCTAAAGCCCTTGTCCACTTCATGAGGTTCGGGTTTCACAGGGAGAGTGACACTTGTTATGAGATTCCTGGGGTGAAGTTCTGACAGGTGCGAGTAGCCGGCATGTTCAGTTTTGACAGCCTTTGGACAGCCCTGCTCCAGATACTCTTTCTGTTTACTCGAACCCGAGTGGCTAACCAGAGGCTGTCCTGTGTTCCTCATGCCCTCATCGTTCCAGCAAATCCGGTTGCCTGGGTTATACTGATTGCCACAGGTTGTGTCTGCTTCGCTTTTGAAAGTGGCCGGGCCACGTGCCTGCTCAGCAAAGCTACTACTTGGGGCAGCCACCTCATTTAATTTATCTGGAACAACCAGGGGTACTTCTCGGAGACCTGTGCAGGGGGCCTGCATCGTTTTACAGTCTTGTTTTGCCGCAGGAGCAGTAATGAAGCTAGAACCGTGATCTATGCTTTCATTCGCAACGGGCTCGGGCCTGCTAATGACAGACACCTGAGGACATGCCATGGGCTGCATGACTGCTTCTGTCCTCACCGACCTGCTCTGGATGTCCAAGCTGGCTTCTGCACTTTCAATGGAGACCGTCAGAGACAAAGTGGAGGTCAGAGTGGTGCTGTGGTCGACGATAACTTTGCATGGAATCGACCTGTTTATGGCTGCTGGTGCAAAGCCCCCTGAAGGTTGCTGAGGTTTCCCAGAACTGTCTGCCCTGTTTCGAGGCCCTGAAGTTTTGTCCGAGCTTTCAGCACTTAACTTGGGAGGACTATCGTAAGAGTTTGTTAGCATGCTTCCAGTAAACATTGCGATGGGTGGGCGTGCAACCAGAGTGTCTGTGACGGCTACTGAATCCCTGCAGCTGAGGGCTGCTCTCACAGTGGTCCCCAGGGACACAGTGGCCTGCTCCTCACTCCCAGGCATGGCTATCTTCTCAGGAGGAAACCTGTTAGTAATTCCCGCTGGGGGAATCAAGACAGAACTAGTGGAGAGATGGTTGGGCAAGTTATTTGCAATGGAGGGAGTTGGCGCAGAGGTGTACTGACTGGAGACCAAGTTACCAGCACTGCTGCTCGAGACAAGCAGCTGCTTGTCATCCATGGAGCTTGATATGCTGGCGCCCTCGGTAGCGCCGGGAGTGGGGGTGCTTTCAACACATTTTGGTATAATGGCTATGCATGGAGTGTCAGTTCCCTGGATGGTTTTTAACATGCTTATATTACAAGCAGAAATTGTAGTGTTTGTACTATCGACAGACATTAGAACAGAGGATTTATCAACAGAACTCACAAAAGGATGTTCTTTAATTGCTCCCGACATAGCAGTGCTGCAGACAGACACAGGGATGGAAGTTTTACTAAAAAGCACGGGCACACTGCTGTTTTCAGAAGAGGTAGATGAAACAATTTTCTCAGATAAATGGGACACGGGTACATTTTCATCAGAACTATGCACAGATAGGTCCGTGGCAGTTTCTGGAAGTTTAGTTGGGTTAAGACACGACTGCAATACAGTGGTGGTCTCCCGGAGGTGCACAGATTTGTTGCTGGGAGATCTGCAGTTGGGGTTGACAATAATGACACCGGTTGAACCTTCAATTTTTGTTTCAGGGGTAGAAGGAACTTCTAAGCCTGGAGGGCCTTCCTTTGAGGCAAGCGGAGGCAACCGGGGCTCTTTCGTGTTCTGGAAGAGGTGGGCTCGGGCCTGATGCTTGGCGAAGAGCTTCGCCTTCGTCTGCTCTTTGATGTGTGCCAGGGTTCTCGCCTTCGCCCCCTCTCCTGGGCTCCCCATGGCTCCAGAGACGATGCTCGCGGCTGCAGCCACAGCAGCGGCCGCTGCTGCCTCTCGCTGGGCCCTTGCTTGCTGGGCTCGAGCCTTGATATCTGCGAGGGTCCTGGCTCCCGTGTTCCTCCCGCCGCTGACCGACGTGCTAGGGGAGGCTCGAGACTCTGGTTTGGAGACTGGCTGGCTCTTGATAATGAAAGGTGGCCCGATTTTGGAAAGCTGGATCTACAAGAAGGGAGAATGGAAAGATAAAGCGCTTGGTCCATGATCACAGAGGAAACGCACGGCAAGTAACAATGCAAAGAAGAGTAGCTGTGTCTTCTCATAACGTGGCGTGAACTACACCTGAGTCCCCAGAACGGGCCATTAGGGTACAAAGGAACATGAAATGCATCATGAATGTGAAAATTAAAAATTTTAATCTCTGTTTTTACGCTATGAAAAACAGCAACCAGTGACTTCATTTGGCATGGAAATCAAACATCTTTTTAATGTCTCATATAAATGGAAACAAAAGTCCATGCGTCTTAAAACGAGGTTAGCTAAAAAGACTCAGAGATATTTAGCTTTCAAATTATCTCCCTTGCTGGCATGAAAATCTGGGACCTTAACTCTACTTGAATTTATCTGTCTTAATTTGACACACACACAAAAAGCTCTAGCCAAGGGGTCAGGAGACGAGAACTGTCATCCTGATTTTATTCAAAGAAACTTTGGGATGCTAGGCAAACCACTGTGTCCTTCAGTGTGTCCAACAGCCTCCGGAGCCAGAGATTCTATGTATGTATACTTGTTTGTATGTGTCTTTGTATCACTTAGCATGCTGCCTTATACATATTAATAAGCATACACAAAAAGTTTGTACACTCAGATGTAAAATGAGACTCGTTATTTCCTGTCTATTTCCTTCACAGGACTGTTATAAAGACAGAACTCTGGTTTTTTGGCTCTAAAAGGAAGTGTAGGTTGGGCAGTTTCTTTTGATACTGGTAATCCACAATTTGCTAAATTTCGTAAACGTCCAAATCCACACTGTTCACCTGCTCATGCTAATTAAGAGGCTCGCAGTCATTACCAATCATGACAAACAACAAGACCTGACAAACAACATACCATAGCAATGCCTGAGATGCTCTACTCACTAAGAATATTCTTAGAGTCATAGATTTGTAGAGCTGGGAGGGATCTGGCTAAAGTCTCATTTTACCCTTAAAAAAACTGGAGGTAAAGTAGACTGCCTTGGGGCATATAACACTGAACCCCAAGGAGAGTATTTGGGCTCCCTGTTCAGAGCTGTCAACATGCACTACACTTCCTCTTTTCCCCCCTCTAAAAAAACCTTTCTTAGAAAACCTCTCTCTCTTCTTAATATATGTATATTTACATTATAAACACTTGACACATACTACAGGATCATATCAATTTGCAACTCGACTGTGGAACTTTGGTAGATGGAATTATCTTCCTGAGCTACCTCATTTTTCATTTTCAAACTTGTAATGTCTCTCTCCAAAGAAAAGGTAAATTCAGAGAGGGGATTCAATTTTTCCTCTTCCATATTTCCCATAGTTTAAAAAATTAAAAACATTTACAAAATAACGCCAAAATATACTTAAGACCTCAAGGCCAAGCAAACATTAAATATAGTATCTACCTATTTATCTATCTTTACATAAGTTGTGTATCACTTTGAAAATAGGCTTTTGGCCAAAATATTTGACTGATGTTTAATAATATCTCTTACGGAAAGCATTCTTATATTTTTCTTTCCATTGCCTCAGAAATTAAAACACATAGCAGTGTTTTATATTCACCTTTTACGTCTCTAGAATCTCATTACTAGGGACTGCTTTATTAAACAGTAACTACAACCACACTCTTAAAAGTCAACCTTATGGAGATCATGAGTCATATATAAAAAGGTGTCAGAGCACAGCAAAATAAAGAGAAAGAGATTAAGAAAAACAAGGCTTGAGTGTGTTTATAATTCTGGACCAATCCTATGATGGAATAATCCATTTTATTGTAGGACAATATAAATGGACTCAGATAAAAGCACCAAATAAGTTTAAATTATAGTGGGTGGAATTTCTTTTTTTATTAAACAGAGTTTCTTTTGAATTAAACTTAATTTTCAGTTTATTAGGCAGAGCCAATTTATATAAAAGGCTTGTTTTCCCAGAGTTAAAATCTACTGGGATCAAAAGAAAATATTTAAATAGCAATGTTTGTCTACAGGCTTTATTTTTTGTGTGAAGTTAAATACCTCTTTTACTATCTTGGAAGTAAAAAAAATAGGATTTGTATGCCTATATATCCACAGCATTTCCCTTCAGGGTTTACAGAGAAATTTCATTGATCTGTTTAAGACATATTTAATGAGGCTCTTCCATAAGCCAGGTCCCTCTCTGCTAGGCAATGGTGGTGTTCAATGATTGTTGGAAAATGAATGAGGGGAAAATATGTACCTTCATCTTTTTAGTGAATACCTCTAACTTCTGACTTCTTTCTCTAGTCCTTCTGAACTTTTAGAGGTCACTGAATTAGCTTTCAAATTTTCCCAAGTCTATTTAGGTCTCTGTCCTAAACTTTGGAATCCCCCAAAGACCCTGTATCTCAGTGGCCTGTGGGCAACTCCAGGGCCTGTTCTCCCTCCTCATTTCTTTTTCCTTAAATGCTGAGGTCTAAATACATATATGAGCTCAATGCAAAGTCTTAAAAAGGAACATTTAATATTACACTGGTAATATTAGATTGCCAACTGCTATATAAAATCTGGAAGGAAGAAAACCTAATTTATTTTTGAAACATTAAGTATCTAAATAGGAAAAGCCTATCTATGGAACTGCATTTTTTTTCTTTTCTTCTCTTTTTAAAAGACCATACCTTGAGAGGTGGGACCCTGGGTTCCTCTCGTGGAGGCTGCTCCTTCTCGGGGGGGCTGCCAGAGGCTACGTTCCGGGCTGACTGAGCATCTTCCATCCTCGCCCTCTTTTCCTTACAGATCCCAAAGCTGTGCTGCTCTGCGGTTTTCCTCTTTGATATCTCGGATTCTCTACTTTCATTTCTCATGCCATCGGGTGACTTGGATGGCTCTGACAACTTGGAAGTATACTGGGTCTCCAACCGATTCTGGGAGCTCCCTGGCTTGTGTGTTTTATTTCTAGAGCCTTCCGGAAAGGAAGCCTTCTCCACTGGTGAGACATACTGCTTGTCCTGTGATTTACCTGATGGAAGCTCGTTTCCTTTACTCTCTGTCTCTTCAGAAAAGACAGATAATTCCAATGGTGAAGACACCCCTTTCTTTTCTGTTCTTTGCAGGACATTATGATTTTTAACTTTTATGATTTCTGTAGAAGGAAGTTCTGGAATGGGAGCAGGATAGGGCGTCTCCGTTTCAACATGTGATTTACAAGGCTGCTGAGTCAGGGTCTTGCTGCTGTGTAGTTCTTCAGATGAAAATGCTTCAGGAGCAATGGAAGAAGAGCCCATTTTGATGGGTTCAGGAGCATTTGATAGACTCTTCTGCTGAGAGAGAAGGCTCTCTCCCAGGGGCTTGGCAGGGGCAGGACCTTCATCTTTCCGTGGGGAGACTGGTTCTTCGGACACGGAAGGTGACTTTCTTTGCTGATGCACCATTCTTTCATTCATGGAAGAATTAGAAATTGGAGATGTTTCAGAAGGTAATGGCAAACTGGATGTAAAAGTGGTCTCAGATGTGAGAAGCATGGAAGACACTGAAGAAGTTTCTGATGTCAAAGGTAAATCAGACATGGGTGATGCTTCTGAAGTTAAAGGTAAATTTGATACTGGGGACGCGTCAGAGGTTAAAGGTAAATTGGACATTAGCGATGCTTCTGATATTTCAGGTGAAGTGGATACTGGAGATATTTCTGACATCAGGGACTCATGACGGTTTTCGTCGGTGGGATTTCTCTGATTATATTTGTCTGCATTTTCAGTGCTGGACACCTCAGAACAAAACGTGGTCTCAAGGGAGGCGGGAGTACATGATTCTTCTGAAGTAGACTGGGTCTCCCCCCCTGGGGATGGCATGCTGCTACAGGCTCCCTCTGGGCTCTCAGAAGAGAAGGACGTTTCAGAGATGCAAGCATTTTCAGAAAGCTGTTCATCAGGATCACTCTGTAGCTCCATATCTACAGCAACTCCTTCATTTGGAAACTGGCCTTCTAAAGGAGATGACCCTGTTCTCATTTTTGGAGTATTGGTCTCTATTACAGTTTCTGGCTCCTTATGTTCTGTGTCATTGACATGAGTCACAGAGGAAGTGGAAGGAACAAGAGAGTCACAGACTTCTAGTTGATCAATAACAACTGACATTTCTTCCTGGGGAGATTCTGATTTCTCCTCCACCTTAACTTCAATATGAGGCAAAGTTTCTAAAACATCATTCATTATAACACAAGATTCCAAGTTATCTTCAGGAAGTGCTATTTGGGGCTCCTCATGAGCACTGGCTGGAATTTCAGACTCCTCAGAAAATTCAGGTATTGTCTTATGATTTTCATCCTGGCATTCACAGATACTTGTCTCTACCTCTTCTGCAATTTCCTCCTGAATCACAGATTCTTCAGATATCAAGATATCCTCTGATTCTGATTCTGCCATTACATCTTTACCAACATCTACCATAGTGCAGAGAGCAGCACAGAAATCAGGCTCTGGAGAAGATGGACTTTTCATGCTTTTGGGCTGTTGTTCTTCCAAGGGAGTCTGTGAAGAAAGACCTGGAAGACTAGAGGTCCCACAGGAAGAACTGCTTTCAGCTCCATCATTGTTTGGTCCAGCAGTGAGCTCTGTAGATTCCTCTCTTGACATGCCCAACCTGAACAGAAATTAGGAACATTAAATTGTTGTTCAACCACAAAACTGGGAAGGTACAACTTGGATCTCTCACAAATACAATATTCAATAAAAGTAAATGCATCAAATTAATGTTATAATCACTAAGTAACATGCTTATCTTACATAAATTAGTTTATAATTACTGGTTTTTCTACTTACTTTATAATCATAACTATTTCTACTTAAGAAAGGTGTAGATTTTATTCTATAAGCAAAGAGATATGAACCTTACCACCTGTTAGTAAAAAAGAATAAGAAAATTACATACTACATAAGATTAGAAAATACAGGCAGAAAAGCAAAAAATGTGTAAGATCTACAATTTTTTAAGTTATAAAGTAGAAACCTGTTACTACAATAGAAAATAACAGCCTTCAAAGGATGCAACATAACCAAATAATTAGGACCAATGGAAAATGGGTATGCTGTAAAATCTTGAAACTGAAATGACTTCCGAAGATTAAGTTCTCTTAAACCAATAAAAGAGGTGTTGTCCAATCACCTGATTTTAGGATCTAAGTGTCTAACCTAAGACAAAATGGAAATCTCCCTAGAGAATAACAAACATATTTGGGGTCATCAGAGTTGATTCTGTTAGATTACATTTGTGTGAGGCAACACTTAAATTCTTTCAGGTAAATCTCTTACAGTAAAAATATTCCATAAAAAAGTTAAGATTCATCCTAATGTTCAGGTCATAAGGCAAAGTAAATCAGAATTATAATCAAAGATACTGTAAATCACTATTTCCTGTCATACTAAGCTACAATATCAGCATCAGCTGGCAGAGGAATATTATGTTCTAAATGCAGTTAAATTAGAGCACTACTGGCAATTACAAAGATAAGCAGAAAAGAGAACTTTTCCAGAGGAAGAAATATATTTGAAATACAGCTATAATAATATCAGTGCAGGAAAATACCTCAGTGAAGTCTTCAACTTTTTACTTAAATTAAATTCTCAAAACGAAAGCGAAATGAAATTGAATACGCTTTTTGGGTGTTTGATCATTGCCTTCTTTACTAAAACTCAGAAGGTTCTGAAAAGAAGATAGAAGATGCTGCTTTCCTAATTAGACTCTTTTCAACTTTCCCTAAGATGGGTTCAAACTAAGCTATAATTTATAACTATACTGAGAGGAACAGAATAACTACATTACAGATAAATTTAAAGCAGAATTATCAGCTGGAAATAAGGTCTCTGGGGGCTAGGTCAAGCAGATACTAGATTAAGTGTAGAATCTATTCACTGGCAGCCAAATTTCTGTTGGTTGGTTATTAAAAATACTATTAAATATATTCAATATTATCACATATATGTGTATGAGATATATTATATAGAAAACAGCACTGTATAAAATATGCTTATGTCAACATTTTATTATTTTCATGGGAAAATAGATTTAAAATGGCATAAGGCATAGAAGGAAGATGTTTACAGCACACAACATAACCACACCAAGGAAAACCCTGCCCTCCAGAAATCTCACTAAATAATAACAAACATATTTGGGGTAATAAGAGTTGATTCTGCTAGATTATACTTGTGTGTGGAATGACTTAAATTCTGCAAATCAACAGACCGACTCTTATCATTCTGAGTTAGCATATACGTGGGTGATTTCTAAGTAACTAAAACAATACAACAGCACTATATTACAAGCAGAGTCAGCCAATAAGAACGATAATAAAGACCCCAAACCAAAAGCAAGAATGAAATCAGACAGATCTTAACTAGAGGTGAATCTGGATGGCACCATTTTTGAAAAAACTTAGAGCAATGAAAAGGCACATGGTGTCAGTCAACTGAAAACAATATGATGCTAGGAAATTGGGAAAATGTGGGTAACCTAAAAGTAACAAAATTAGAAGGGCAGTCAATGAAATGACCAAAATATAACTGTCATCCACTATGAAATCAAAGACAGAACAAAACAAGCAAGAAGTCCAGTGACTTTAGGAGACAAACTCTATGGAAAAACTACAGCAGGAAAGGGGTTAAGTTAAAAAGAACTGTTTGTATTCATTCGCAGATCAGAGGTGGAGATGGGGAGTTATATTTACTCACAGTATTATAGCTGCCATCCTCTAGGGCAGGGACCTTTAACCTAATCCATCTATGGGAGTCTGTGAAGCCCCAAATTTCATGTAAAAAAATGTGTGTGAATTTTTCTGAGAAGAATTTGCAGGATTAAGACACTGAGCCACTTACTTAGCCATAATTAAGTTTCACTGTCCCTCCGTTTTGGCCACCATTTTTTAAAATATCAGAATAATAATGATATCCACCTTACAGGATTTGGGGGAGAATTAAGTGAAGTAATACTTGCAAAACTCTTAGAAACACATCATAGCCAGAGTATACTCAATGATTATTTGATGAATGAAGGAAAGCTACCTGTAATGCACGGTCTCCAGAAGGCAGGCTTTCTGAGGGCAGAGCCCAGGAAGTCCTACAGATCACCGTACCTCTGGCAGCTAGGCTAATGTGTGACACAGAGGAGATGCTGGATAAATACTGTTGGGTTAATAAAAGAATGGGCCCAACACTCAATAATAATTCAGGACCAGTGTGTTGGAGGTAACTACCTCAGTTATGCTTCTGCCATTACTGAAAAGAGTGCTCCCAACATTCCCTTTGTCAGAAAAAAGGTGGGGGTGGGCTCAGCTCCTGGAGATTCCCTATCTGTATGTTTGGGGTGCATTCTGGAAATCTGCATCTAATTTTTAAAGCTCCAATGAGGATCTGATACAGCCAGGCTTCAGTAATACTGTTAGAGACTATAGATGAAGGCATATAACTAGAGTGCCACATTTTAAATTTTTGAATAAAAGATGATAATTATCTTCTTTTACTTTTGCTTAAATACATTTATGAATCCAAGGTCCCAGGACAGCAACTGAAAACAAGCCTTCCTACTCAAGAGCACTGCTTTGGGACAATTCACCAAGCCGGCCGCCCCTGGGTAAGGAGCCTGTTAGCCATGTGATTCCTATTCATGAAGAACACTCAGGGGAGGCTCCTTCTGATGCTTTTTCTCCATTTACTGGGCGGGGGGGGGGAATTAGATCAAATGCTACAGGTTTTGTTATCTGTACCGCCTCAGTATCTTTTACACAAAACAACTTTCAAGCATTAATTGTGTACATGGGCGTTAAAGCTCAAACTCCTCTACTAAGGAGGATCTCGAGTGACTGTCAATTGTCAGCTTCCTGCTCCCTACTTCTTTCCTAGGCATCTGACTCTGAGACTTTGATTCTGCCCAGGTAGAGTATGTCCCCGCCAACTGTGAAGCAATGGAGAAGCACTTTCCATTTTGTTCAGTCACTACCACGCTAATGTGTGGCTGGTATTATTTTCAAAAGAAATAAACGCAAATAAAAATAATAAGTTAAAAACTGGTTACACCCAAAGAGGAAGATGGATAGAGTAAAGGGTAACACCTCAAGCCCTCCCCAAAATAATCGCTAAAGAAATATATATGCATGGTCAACAGTTTTGGAAAAAAAATGTGAGAATTAAATGTGTCTAAAACTACTTAGCTCTAAAGTATTCATTAATAAAAATAGTAGGATTAAAAAAAATAATAACAGGAGATTTTTACTAAAATCCAGTTAAGAAAGCCAAAATTGACTTCTATAGGCTTTCATGCTGTTTTCAGTCCAAAGTGAATTTTCATGGACAAGTTATAAACCCTTGAAAACGCATTTTTAATAATTTAAGTGCTGATATGCCACTATAATTTTACCCGCAGTTTCTTACACGGAGGGACTATTGCCTTTTATCACAGGTTTATTAAGTTTTACAGCATATGAGAGTGCTGTGTGAAGCAGAGAATTACATTTTCATTTCCTTCTAAGAGAAATGAGAAAAAAAATGCTCTAGCACTTACTTTTCTCCATAAAACCTTTCAAAGAATTTTTCTTTCCAAGGTTCTGTTTTCTTTTCCTTCTCAATTTCTTGCCTTATCCGCAATTGCATTTCTGGAGTAAACTCTCCTAGAAAAAAAATGCTTATATGTTGAGTGAAAGTGGTCAGATCCTTTGCCAATTAATAAAGACAACATGTAATTAATTTGAGTAAACTTTTATGGATGTTGAAAACTAAAAGCTGAGTACTGATAATATTTCTACGGCTTCTCTTTTTATGATCACTTAAACAGTCATTTAGTCACAGATGAACTTTAAAGCATTTAGCAAATGTACTGCATGCTCGGGGCTGTGAATGGAAGAGTGTATGCACTGTCCTTAATGAAGTCTGTCTGCTGAGAGAAAAGGCATACAGGGGACTATAATGTCAGAAGCCCTGTATAAGGATTTATGTAGTAAAAACATACAAGGGGAAACACTTAATTCTGCCTAAATCAATTAGAGAAAGCCACATACAGTCACTGATTCTTGTGTTAGCTTCTGAAAGATGATGAAGCTTTTATAAAGTAATTAACTCAGAAGGCACAGAGATATGAATATGTATGTTTATGTTCTTTTGAGTGGCCAATTATGAGAAGAATGCAGGATCAGGTGGGACAGGAAAGGAAGGCTGAGGCCAATGACCCAACGTGTGCTCTAAAGAGAGTTCTGAATTTGTCTTACAAGACACAGAAGGTGGGACAGGAGGTGTTCAATGAGGGAGAAATACAGCCAAATAAGCAGCAGGAAAGGGGGTGAAGAAACTGAAGGACTCCACCCAGGAGCCCACTAAATGTCATAAATGAGAGATGGACCTTATAGTCAGGCCAGCTGCTAGGGGACCACGGAGAGGATTCAGACCCGCAGCGCAACCAGCGCTTCAGGGCCAGACAAGCCCCGCAGAAGGAAGCGGTTCAGAGACACCATCGAGGCTTCAAAGTGAGGGGCTGGGAGGGGACAGTGATGACATTAAGCTCGAGAGGGCAGAGGAATGGTGGCTATTAAAGGGAGGACGGCGGGTTTAACACTGGCATTTAGGTTTTCAGGTGCCTGATATCAGTGAGGGAGACCCAGGAGCCACTTGGAACAGAACACGGAGGAGTAGGAAAGAGGAGCGAGGACCAGATTGGGACGTTTTTGGCATATGAACCATAGTTGAGGCCAAGGTGAAGGAGGCTGTTTAGGGAATTATGTGTAAGTTACAAAAGAAAATAGCAGGAAAGAGAACAGTGGAGACGTTAGCATTGACCTGCTGATGAAAGAATAGGAGATCCTGAAGGAAGGTGAGCAATGGCTGTCAGAAACGCAGCGTTAGGAAGAGATTTTAAATATATTATGAATTTCTACAGTAGATGGTTTCCAATTGGATGGGATAAAGAGCAAAGGAGAAATTGGAGAAGGGACACGAAATGTAAGGACTGAGAAGGAGAAACTGGACTTTGCCATTAGAAAGTCATCAGTATTTTCTAGGAGAGATTATTTCAATTGTGTAGAGTGGGGTTACACCCAACTGTAACAAGGTGAGTAGGTAAGGGAGTAAAATGGGGTAGCTCTGGGTATTTTTTAGTCTTTCAAGAAGCTTGGTGACTAAAGGAAGGATAAGGTGAAGTGGTGGTTTTAATGGAAGAAAGTATTAAAAGAAGATCCCTTATGCCCCAGGACATTAATAGCATATATACATCAAACAAGTAATTAAAATTAACAATGTCCCCCAAATTTTGCTATATCAAGATTTTTTATTATGTCCCAGGTGAGTGACATCATGCTTTTTTCAAAAATATTGGATACCAAAAATGCCAAATATAACAAAAGAATTGGTGAATTCACTTGGAATAACATGCGAATTTTTACTAAATTAAAGTACTCTTCAGGGGGTAAAAAGACTTGGAAACCAGGGAAAGGTGCAAAGCTCAGTACAGCATGTGTGCTCAAATGCGTCAAATAAAAATGGGAAATAGAAATTTACCTTCTGCCAGTCGCTGTTTCCATCCTTGTGCTGCATATGCAAAGAATTCATTATTTAGAGCTGAAGTACTGAGGCGTAAAATTCCATCACTTCCCATCTAGGAAATAAGCCGACAAAAACAAGATTCCATCAAGCAGAATTCAAAGCAAAAGCATGCAGGAAAGAAGCGAAAACCGGGGCATGTGCGAGGGAGGGTGCAGGTAGGAGAGAGCGAGGAGAGGGACCCAGCAGAAGACAACTCTCCCAGGACGAAAAGCGCGCCTGGTACAGCAGCTGCGATGATGACAGAATACATCAATTTAAAGGAAAAACTTACTGGCATTCCCTTTATTGGTGGTGAGTATAACGAACGTGTGTGGTTTAATCAAAATAAGTTTTATATGATTATTATTCTAGTATGCCTTAAATTGTACCAAATTAAACATCCACATTTGCTTACCCCTTTAGATTAGGCTTTTTAAATGAAATCTTCTAAGGTGCGTGAAAACTAAAGAAATCTGGTCTGATCACTTGGATTCCTTTGCTGTCAGAAGTTTAGACAACAAAAAGCTCTGAAATATATTAAACAAGTATACCCACACTATCATATGTATCCCTGTACCCCTCCCCTTCTACTTCTCTCACCTCTTTGGATGCACACAAAATCAGGTATACAACAAAGATTGAAATATGTGCAACTACATGCTACTAACCTGTTTCCTCAAATACACTAATTTTTTAAAAACTCGCATATCCTGAGTCACCAAATCTAAGAAGTGTAGACTTTAATCCTTTCTGTGGGGATGGCCCAGTGAAGATACTATAAGGCAAACCTGAGGCAGAGCTTGAGTCAGCATGAGGCCCAAGGTTAGTGGCATCCAGGTCCAAGTTTCCCCCTCAATTTACCTGGTATGTTTATGGCCTTGTTCAATGTGCTCCACGATGCGGGGAAGGTGGGAATCACTGCTTTAGGTAACAGAAACTACCGAAACGGTTTAAACCTGGGCAAAGTCTGAAAAGATGGCTTTATCAGCTATGAAAAAAAATGGAATGGAGAGGAAGAGATACAAATGGAATATGTCCCTAAAAGATGGTAAAAGGCGGCAAATCTGAGAGATTCTCTGGATGGGGTGAAGGGCTTCAACACTGAGAGGTAAAGACATGGGAAGAGTATTTCAGGAGACACTAAACATCCTCAGGCTGATTCTGGGAGATGGGGTGAATGAAAAGGGCAGCCGAGCCTCAGTAGAAGTCTTCGAGGGCTATTATCAAGGATGTCTAGCAAACGCAGTAAAGATGAGAAGATGGTCCAACTGAATGATATGCTTCCAGCCAGTCTGAGATTTTCTGTGAATACTGACTCTATTTGTCTTTGTGGCTTGGGAGTATTGAGAAAAAGCAGCTCCACTTAGGAAGACTAAAGAGGAAGAGGTATTCTCATTGCACAGATTTTAAATAGACTAGTAGGTGGAAGGCGAGCTCCCTGAAAAGGTAAAGGTATTTGTTAGCAATGAAGCGCATTTATACATGGCATGCCGGAGGAGGTTAGAATTTCCTGCACTTGAGGATACGTATGGTGCCTCCTAAACCTCTGTAGTCCACGCAGTGCCTAATATATTGCAGGCACTCAATAAATGTTTATTGCACTGTCCTTGCTTTGTGTAGTGAAACATTTAAAATTTAACTCCCGGAGCTGATAAGCTGGATTTTAGTTTTGTGTATTCTGCCAGGCCAAGGGCATGATTAGTTATTAATTGAAATTTCAGCATAATTTTAAGACACAAAGAAATACCAGTTCCAGATTAACTCTGACAGTGTCTCACGATCTCAGCACACGAAAATGCAAGGCAGTGTGAAATAAATACATTCAAGAATATGGAAGCTAGCCCTGGAGGAAAATGTTTGTCTTTTAAAACAGAAAAATAATATTAACAGCCAGATTTCTAGCCTGTAGGAGACAGCGCAATTAAACACTAGGGCTAAATTAGACTTAGGAAATAGATGCCAATAAAACTTTTAAAGTACACTATGAATTTTATGGCCTTTAAGAAATACTGTCCGAGAGACATAACATTTTAATGAGCTGGAGCAATAAACATTTCTGAAAGGTTTGTTTATTTATTTATCACTGAGCTATAAATTCTTGTTTCTCTGAATTACCCATAATAGAAACATTCATTCTAAAAACTCCCCCCTCTCTCTCTAATAATGAAATGTCTAATGAAGTTATTGATAAGTATGCCTCCTTTTAAATTAGGAGAAAAACTCTGATCATACTAATGACTACAGAGGAAAATAACTATAGGTAAAGGGGAACTTATTCATATAGAGATCCTTTTACAAAAAATTAAACTGTGGGTGAATGTATCATTGGCCTTTAGTATTAATTATATTAACATACATTTTATGGGATGAATGTCAGTGAAACTCAAATGGTTAAAATGTTGCTACTTGCATACCATCCAATGTTTAAAGTTGGACGAATGTTAATTCTGTACAAGGACATAACTACATTTCCTAAAATCCTTTACCCCTCTCCCATATTCTTTTTCACTTTTTTCCTCTCTTGGGTTTCCTGTGAGTGATTCAGAATGCATGGCAAGCGGGCTGCTTAGAGGAACAGTAAGAAGTGGGCTGGAGAGTAAGAAAGCGGCTAAATGATAACGGGATGCCTGGATTTACTACGCACTTTGGGCTTCCTCTACAGGCCAAGAGGAGCCATTCAAAGTGACGAGAATCCACGATGGGAAGGTTCACGCTGAGTGTGCGTGGATAAGCCGGCGGCTGCTTGGGCCATGGTGTTAAGGGTGGGCCCCACTAATGCGCACTGATGCTAAGGGACATTGGAGCAGACGACTGAAGGGAGGGAGGGACGGAGGCACGCAGGCCTGGCCAGGGGGCTCGGCTGCCTGGAGCGCCATCCTGTAGGCCAAAGGTTGCTGGTTCGATTCCTGGTCAGGGCACATACCAGGGTTGCGGGTTTGAACCCTGGTTCAGGGCGCGTAAGGGAGGCAACCAATCGCTATTTCTCTCTCACATCGGTGTTTCTCACTCTCTCTTCCTCTCCCTCTAAAACAAATAAAAAATATATCCTCGGGTGAGAATTAAAAAAATAAAAGAAGTGAGGCATATAGCCATCTGGGGAAGAGAGGGCTAAGTGAAGAAAGGGATATAAATGCAGAGGTCCTCAGGCGGGCCTGCAAGGAGGTCCTAAGAGCTGGAAGGACCTTAGAGCGTGGGAGGGACAGGGGCTGAGGGGACAGGATCATGCCAGGCCTTGTAGCCCAATGGAAAGACTGGCTTTCCCCCCCTGAGTTAGCTGGGAAGCCTTCGCAGGACTTGGGGCTAACAACTGAAAAGACCTGACATTTTACAGGAACTGCTCTGACTACTGTGTTTAAAGACGACTCTGGAGTAGTGCTGTCCGAAAGCAATGTCAGTGTGAGCCACATAACTGATTTAAATTTTTCTAGTAATCACACTGAAACAGTAAAAAGAAATATGTGAAATTACTTCTACTTTACTTTTAATCCAACCTATCCAAAATGTTGTTTCAACATATAATCAATATGAAATAGTTAATGAGATATTTTTCATTCTCTTTGTATACCAATTTTTCAATATCCAGTGTGTATTTTTATAACACATCTCAATTCAGATCAGCTACATTTCTATTGCTCGACAAATAGCCTCTGGTGGCTAGTAGCTACTGGATTGAACAGCATAGTTTCAGGAGATAAAGACTTACCAGGGACATGGGTATGTAGTTATTGCAAAACTCCAGAAAAAAAAGATGATAGTAGCTTGGAATAGGGTGACGGCAGGACAGGTGGTGAGAAATGTTTGGATTCTGACTATATTCTGAAAGTTGAGCCAACAGAACTTGAGGATGGACTGGGTGTGTGGTACGAGAGAAAGACAGCACACAAGGATGACACCAAAGACTTGGCCTTGGCAGGTAAGGCAAAGTGGGGTAAATGCGGGCGGAAAGAGGCTTTACTTTGGGCGAGGGGCGCAGGATGCAGTGTGCAGATGGTGCTTTGTTGAGATGTACATACACTTGAAACCTGTACAGTTTTGTGAACCAATGTCATCCCAATAAATTCAATAAAATTGTTATTTATTAAAATGGAGAAGACTAGGGGAGGAAGAAGTTTGGTTTTGAACCAGTTAAGGCTGAAATGTTGATTATAATTCCACGCAGATGTCTTAGATATGTCATTCTGCGTGTAGTATAGAGGATGCCCTGGACATAAGCAAGACTAGAGACAGGGACTCCTGTCATGAAGCACCAAGAAAGGGCCAAGGAACAAAGGATGAAAGGTATTCAGGCAGTGGGAGTACAGATGCATATCATTCAAGAGAGGTACAGGAACCAGAATCGATGGGGCTGAGTGAGCATGTGTGTGAGTGATGAACACAATAAAGGCATAAAAGATGAGTCCAAATAATAAGGCCTGTATAATTGGGTAGGTGCTGGTAGCAGACATCAGGACAGGAAAAGGCACAAGATTGGAACAGTGTTTTGGACAAAGAAATGATAGTTTTTTCTTTGGATATGCCAATATAAGGATACTGAGAGCATGCAAAAAAAGATGGTCTAATCAGTAACCCAGGCTAGGGCAAGAAGCTCACAGTGATGGTGGGACTGAACAGAGAAAAATAGGAATTATTAGCAAAGAAAGTATACTTGAAGACATGGATATGGATGATAACACACAGGAAGAATTATCAAAAGAGAGAATGACTTAAAGCGGAGTCCTGAGGAACACCAACATAGAACGGATGGGCAATTAATGCTGTTAGGAAGACTAAGCAAAAGCAATCGGAGGTAGGAAGAAAATCAGAGCAAATAGCATCATAGATGCGAGGAAAGAACGTGTTTCAAGAAGATCTGTATTGTGTATGTGCTAATATCGACCCAGTGGTGTATAATTATTTAGGTGAACACTTCATGGAATATACTATGTTAGCTGGTGTGCCCAATGTAACCAATCAAAAGGGTCCCTAGAGCAAAGCCAACCTAGGCAATGAGAGTCCAACCAGGAGTCGAATGCAATAGCGAAAAAGTAATTAGCAGATGAACTATATAAACTATACATATAAACTATATATAAG